TTTTTGAAACCCCCCCCCCCCCGCGGCCGCCGCCGCCGCCGCCGCCGACCCTGCGTCCATTCCAAAATGCATCGCGATATTAGATATTTTAAGAACTTCTTTAAAGAAAGAAAGAAAAAAAATATGATATATATATATATAATAATAATAAAATATTCTTACTACATCCTCCACCTCACCCTCTTCCTCCGCTGAATACATTCTTATTCCTCCTCCTCCTCCCTCTCCTTCCTCCCCCCCTCCTTCTCCTCCTCCTCCTGCCCGATCGTCAGGGCGCTAAGGAGGTAGATATCCAAGTTATTATTTGATCGAACTGTGATATCTCCTCAGCAGGATATTCTAGAGGAGGAAAAGGAGAGGGATCTTCCAGGATTCCAGCGGAGACGCTCTCCTCTTCAACTTCTTCCTTTTCCACTTCCTCTTCCTCTACCGCCTCATCGAAATTGTCGATGAGATGGTTGAACGCAATTTTGTTTATACGCACTTGAGATCATCCACCTCATTGGCAATCTCGATGAGGCGATGGAATAACTCTATTTGAATGACATGTAATTGAGTGAGATCAATTATAATAGTATCACTCTGTTGAATCAAGAAAGAGGAGGAGGAGGAAGAGGAGACAGTCTCCTCAATTCTTTGCAGTTCTTTATCGCACCCATATTATAATATAGCTGCAATGTAAAAAATTATCACTTAATCACAGAAATGTGCAAAAGTATTGTACCATTTAACATACCATTTAATGGTAAAATATTTTTGCACTTTGGGGAAAAAATCACTCACGTTGTAATAGTCTAGAAAAAGCAGGACAAAGACTGACGCTAAGAATCAATCTTCGCCGCAGCGAGCCTGCCTGGGATTTATCTATAGGCGGCAGTTCTATATAAAACAATTTAGATCATAAGTGCCGTCACGAGAAAAATTATCACTTATATCGTTGCAGCACTCTTTATAAGAGCTGCGATTATTTGCGGCCCATCGAATTGCTGAAAGTTCACGCTGCACGTTTATTTGCACACCTGTAATTTCTTTTTTCTTACGCGGAAAGGTACATACATTTATACATACATACATACATACATACATACGTACGTACATACGTACATATGTATGTACGTATGATGACGTATATTGACACGGCAAAAAAAAAACAAGCGTTAGCTGTTGTTTATCTAAATGGAGTACGATAACGCGTCGAAGTATAGGATGAATGGATGGACGGGAAGTAAAGAAAGTACATATATAGTGATGTGAATGAAAAAATTTTTTATTCATGTTATTAAATTGTTTCTTTTTTGTACGTATTAAAAACTAAAGTCAATTGCTTGCAATTGACGAGTTGATGTTTGTAAATGATGTCGCTATCGCGTATTGTGTCTTCGGACGCGATGTTGGAGAATCGCGTATACTTGACATCGATCGTATCGATGATCGGTCTAATTGTTCGAACGTTATATCGATACATCAAACGCAAACATACATCGTAGCGTCGTTTCGGTCATTGTAATGCATACGGACGAAGAATCGAGACGTAGCATTGTTTAACGTGCAAACGCTGACAGTTAGCGGTTTAACGCTTATAAAATTGTCCTATTCGTTTCGCAGCATCTTGTAAATATTCCATCGCTGCTCGTAAAGGCTCTTCCACGTTTCGAAAGACAATGACAGTTCATGTCCACGATGATCTTCCAGGACGATCTCCACGTAACTCGGTGAACCAATGTTGATTCCAATTTCCAAAAATTTGTAGCCCGTAGCCGTCAGATCATAACGTCTGCTCAGTAAACGAATCTCGCGATGCTCCATGCTGTGTACGTACATAATATTAAAAAACATTTCTTTTATGTATAAAACATTGAAACTTACATGTTACTGCAGTCCTTCTTCGTTTTGTATGATGCGTTGCTGTCTTTAGAAGTACATTTTCAATCATTCATACAAGCGGGTATCGCAAGACTGATTGCATCCGCGTAAATTGAGATGTATATGATAAAACTTCTAGAATCGAAGAGGAAGCTAACCCTCTTTCCAAGAATTGCGAATGTGTCGCGATTTATCGCGACGTTTTATCGCGTTTTTCTATGTATTTTCTTTGTCCGCGGGTTTATCAATGTTTATATTTTATGATTTATATTTCGATGGCATTAAAATGACGTTGATGATGAGCATGTTGGCGACTTTAATGCTTTTTCCTCAGGACATTCCCAATATCTCGCTTTTTTCTTCGATGATGGACTTGGCGGACTTGGTGACGAGGAACGGTACCCCTTTCGCTCGATCAATTTTCGACGTATATTCTTTTACTCAGTCCACGTCTTAACGCTCGTAATTAAAACTTACGATTGAATGAAAAAAATCTTACCTATATACATTACCTATATACAATACATTGCATATATATATATACTGTCAGATAGGATATGTCGTGACGCGTTTAACAGAAGCGTCGATGTTTTTGATACATAATACATACATACGTGCATACATATATATTCATACATATACGTTTATATATATATATATATATACGTATATACATACGGTCATACATACATACGAGGTATGGCTATTAAATAACGAGACTGACGCTGCTACAGAAGAAGTACGCATGCGCCAAACGCCAGAGACCGACAGCTGTTTAGCGTGAAGCCTTCTCTTTCGAATGCAGTACCTCTCGCTTCTGTAAACAAATCCGTATAGCCATAGCCTTCTTTCGCATTAGAGTTGTTTTTTTGTTTCGGAAAAATGATAAGTGTAACAATAGAGCAACGAATTGTTATGAAATTTCACGTGAAACTTGGAAAAACCGCTACTGAAACTTATAATTTATTGAAAGAAGTGTATGGCCATGAATGTTTATCGCGTGCACGTGTTTTTGAGTGGTTTAAGCGTTTCCAAGACGGCCGAGAAGACGTTGAAGATGATTCACGCCTGGGTCGCTTCCACGTCAAAAACGGATGACAATATCGAAACAATCGGTAATCTGGTTCGATCCGACCGTCGGTTAAGTATTCGTGCGATTGGTGAAACTGTAGGAATTGACAAAGAATGTGTACGGCAAATTTTACATAACAATTTTAACATGAAAAAAGTGTGTGCCAAAATGGTACCTTTGTATCATTGTCTGTCAAGAGGTTTCTAGCCAAGTACAGCATCCCAGTGTTAGCCCATCCGCCTTATTCACCGGATCTTGCACCGTGTGACTTCTATCTGTTTCCTAAGGTGAAGTCTGCATTAAAAGGAACAAGATTTGAGTCTGTTGAAGCTGTGAAAGAGAAAGCGGCACGCGTCCTGAAGGAACTGACAGAAGAAGACTTTCAGCATTGTTTCAAATAATGGAAGATTCGCATGGAGCGTTGTAGGGATAGAGGAGGGGTGTATATTGAAAGTGATAATAAGTAAATATGTATGAAATCAAAATAAAATGTTAAAATTTTACAGCGTCAGTCTCGTTATTTAATAGCCACACTTCGTACATACACATTCATACGTTCACATACAATATGTTCATACATAGTACATGTATTATAGAGAAAGGGAAAAAAGAAATATATAATAAATACGTTAACATATTTTTATTTAAAAAAAAATTCTTTTGCAACCACAGTTATATATTTTCAATATAGTTTGTAAAGCGCAATTCTTAACATGTTGTCTACATCGCATAGTAATAGCAACATACAGATTAGTTAAAGATTCCATGTCTTCGTAAACTGCTTCCAAGGTCTCGATATACATGCGTTCTCGCTCATCGTCTAAAAACAAGTTCCACAGCCACATTCGTTTCTCGCGTCCCTTAACGTACATGATATCATCATGTTCAAATACAGCTGCCGTTTCTCCTCGTTGTACGGGACCATCCCGTCCTTCCATCGCAATCCAATGTGAGAGCACTCAATCAGGAAGTGCAAGACCTGTCGGATCTTGTCAAAAATTTCCATGGCATGGGACTCATAAAAATGTAATGTGAAAACGGTCCTCTGTTTCAGCACCACTTCCTTCACGATAAATTTTTTGTTAACGATGAATCCTTGCAGATCCACGAACGTTGGCATGTTGTCGAGAAGACTGCAGTCGATTGCGATGTATCGTAGATTTTACCATGTAAAAGTACACTTAGATGATTTTGCTCATAACGTTGGTCAATGGATTATGCTGAACCGTGATCGTGTATGATGAGACAATAAACTGTTGTATTTGTGGGCACGTTTTGCTTACATTCAAAATCTAATCGCACGTCAACGGTGCCACTCTTGATTCGTTCTGTCAGAGCAATTGATGATTACGAACGGGCTATTATGTAAAAAAGTTGTAAAGGTGAGACTCGGCTCGAGATACTCGTATCCGTAGTAGTCCTTGCAGAAACGCGCATACAAGTCGTACAGAATCGCACATCTATTTTTATCAAAATCCAGATTCAAGTCATTGTACGGATAACATTCCGAATTCAGGTAGAGTTTCACATTGATTAATTTGCAGTCGTCAAATCGATTTATATCCTCGGATATGATGTTTTTTTCAACCTGTTTGCATAGCGAAAATGACGTAGCGCGGCTTCTCAAGCTGAGTGGCTGTGCCACTTGATAGCCTACGAATGCTTGGTTGTATTCTGCAAGAGCGGAAACTCGTACAGATCCCATAAGTGAAAAGTCATGCTCAGATATCGTCCGCTCTCCAAAGCGCGCAACATCGACAGCTTATTTATCTCGTTCAATAACACGTACGACATTCGCCATTGTACTTTGAATAATTCGAGCATTGACTCTGTCACCGGATCTCCCGTCAGACAATTGTTGTCGTTGCTCGTATTAAAATCAACTCGTGACGAGCGTTGATCACCACGCGTTTGTGGTCTTCGCAAAATCCCAGCAGTACGTAAAGCGGTACAAAGAAATGAAACTCTGGCTGCAGGCTATTCTGCGCATCTCAGCCGACATTCCGCAGAATCACGCTTCTATCGGATAACACTGTTACATAGTTTTTGAACGTGTTAGTTATGTCCACGTTTCTGTTACGGTCAATCTCCACATCGTTGAGTTCATATCGAATCTCAACGAATATGAACGCGATGCAATTATTTCCCAATATCACGTGAACACCCTGGACAATTTTATTCTTTGTTTTCCGACATACAGAAAGCTTTCATACGATAATGTGTACAGATTCTGTTGTTATATGGTTCTGTTGTATTCTTATTTCATCGCTGATACCTGAA